GGGGGGGGAGGGGACATTAGAGTGTAAGCTCCTCTGTACAGAGACTGATGTGACTGGCTCAGTGTCCTCTGTACAGCGCTGTGGAGAAGCAACAAGAGTAAGAAAAGTAAATTCAATGATTTATTTGAAGGGTGAAGTGTTTCAATGTAATATTATTATTATTATTATTATTAGTAGATCTTGCCACAATTTTGGATCCGGGTTTCTCCCTCTCAGATCTGTCCGTAGACCGACGCTTCCCATCTCCTTCTCATCTCCTCCGCTTGTATGATGACGGAAGTTTTGCTGTTTCAGGTCTCACGGCGGCCGCCATGGCAGAAGCGATGAAGCTCCAGAAGATGAAGCTGATGGCGATGAACAGTCTTCATGGAAACGGCAGTCAGAATGGAACCGAGTCTGAGAACGAAGAACTCAATTCAAACGCAGGTAAGGGACAGAAGGAATGATCTGACCTTTACCCCAATGCTGCTTCAATTGTATAAATATTTCTTGATTTTTTTTTTGGGGTACAAAAAAAGATAATGGGGGGATTAGAAACACGCCGGAAATGTTGCAAAACATATATTATAAAGATGACAAATTACTTTATGTAAAAAGGGATTTTAAAGTTTGCGGTCTTGTGATGTCTGTCTTTATTAGACAGAAGACAAGAATCGCCAGCGCTCAGTAATATCATTCAATATGTCCATTTATTTGGACAAATCGTCACAATGAAAGAAGCCAACGTTTCGGGGGGCCACACAGGGTCCCTTCATCAGGACGAGAAGATGTGGTCACTGTGCCATGCGTGGTCATCGCTGCGAGCAAATTGTTGTACAGGCCGGGAGCGCTGTGAGGAGTGCGGAGGGACTTTCTTTCTTTCCATGTCTTTATTAAAGAGATTTCTCTCCCACTTCCTGTCCCGGGGAATCACATCTCTAGAACGGGAAGTGGGGGGTAAATCTTCTAATTGGGGACAAAGACAGCAATGACCATTTTAAAAGGAGTATAGGTCAGCTGAGTGCCATGCTTGTGAAGTGTTAAGCTTGGGTTAGAATTTCGTATGAACGTTCACATGAAAAATCTGGTCGGAACATTCAATAATGACATCAGAGACTTGGCATATGTATGACCAGCTCCAATACAGCCCAAACCTTTGGATTAAAATGGGGAAGGATTGGAACCCTTGTTGGATTATACTGCTCTCCGATATCCGTTCGAGAGATTTACCTTTTACTTCCTGTTTCACCTGATCGGTATTAAAGGAGAACTATGGGGTCAGTGTTTTTCCCCATAGTTCTCCTTAGGGTAACGGGAGGACACAAACTAGCGTCCTCCCGTCACCCTCTGTACCCTCCCTCTGCTCAGGGAGCTACAGCTCGCGGTATACTGAGACGCCGCAGCTGAAGCAGATCCCGACGTAGATGACGGGATCCGCCCAGCTGCGTGAGTGACAGCTGGCTCTGCCTATCTAGAGGCAGAGCCAGCTGTACCCGCCCCGTCCGTTCCGCCAGTCAGCGCTGGCGGATCGGAGCGGGGAGGGGGGAATCCAGCCCCTCCCCCTGTCACGGCAGAGAGCCGTGACAGGATCGAGAGGCGAGCGAACCCGGTATGTGTTCGCTCACCTCCCGATCTACTGAGCCGGCCTGTGACAGTCTCATTGCCACAGGTCGGCTAGAACTATGAGGTGAGTGAAAAGCCCCTCCCCCCTCATAGTTCTCCTTTAAGGAAAAATCTGCAAAAGCAAAGCAGAAATAATGATACTTTTTCAGTAGAGGAAGGCTCAAACCGCCGTCACATTTTATTTCTTCGGGTGTACTAAATTCCCCAAAAAATCAGAGAGGAGGTTAGATCAACAGTGATCAGGTGGGATGCACCTATACAGATACTAGTATTGGTGCTGATACCGAGTATTTGGGTGAGCTTTGATACCTTTCCCAACACCAGAACTTCCGGTTAGAGGAAGATTTCCTATGACCGGCAGTACCGTAGAGGAACATAGAGCCAGCTTCCCGGGCACTCGGAAAGCCAGGTGGCGAGTAATGATTGGCCCGGAAGCTGGCTCCATGCTGATTGCCTAGGAAGCTGGCTTCCCGAGCAATCAGGAAGCCGGGCGGCATGTCATTACTCGCCACCCGGTTTCCTGATTGGCACCCCCTGCCTACTCTTCATTGCAGGCTGGGAGCCATAGCCAGCCTGCTATTGGATATTGTAAAATGCAATAGCCAATAGCAAGCTGGCTATTGCACCCGCCCACTGTCTGCTGTCAATCAGCATGGGGGGACCTGATAGAGAACTTTCTGCTTCAGGCCCCTACTCTGCTGATTGACAGCGGGCAGATGCAATAGCCAGCCTGCTATTGGCTATTCCATTTTACAATATCCAATAGCAGGCTGGCTGTAGCTCCCAGCATTAAAATACAGAAAGAAAAAGTTTAAAAAAATTTAATTAAAAAGACAAAAAAAGTAAAAAAAAGAAAAGAAAAATTTAAATAAAAATTAAAAATAGAAAAAAAGTTTTTTTGCTGTGTTATTTTAAATAAAAATGTAATTATATTATAATCTTCTGAACAACAGGAACAGACAGCAAAAGAACCGTGACCCTTCCCTATGCTATCCAAAACTAAAAAATTTTCCTGTTCCGACTACATACAAATTCAACTTAAAGGAGAACTATGGGGTCAGTGTTTTCCCCCATAGTTCTCCTTAGGGTAACGGGAGGACACAAACAAGCGTCCTCCCGTCACCCTAAGCTCAGTATATAGGGAGCTACAGCTCGCGGTATACTGCGACGCCGCAAATGAGGTGAGGGAAAAGCAATCACCTCATAGTTCTCCTATTAAGTACAAACCTAAAGTCCCGATCTTGTATGTAACCCGGGGACCTCCAGTCCCGATCTTGTATGTAACCCGGGGACCTCCAGTCCCTATCTTGTATGTAACCCGGGAACCTCCAGTCCCGATCTTGCATGTAACCCGGGGACTGCCTGTACTTGTACTCGATACAGAGAAACCGGTATCAGTGCATCCCTAGTCATCAGCAATAGAGAATTGCCAGCAGTCAGTCCAATTCAGTTTCGTATTGGCATAATGGCCCTGATAAGACTGCTTTTGACAATCGGGGGGCCCTAACTGGGGCCCCTAGAGTGAAAATCCAAGATGTCGTATAAAGAGCACCAGGGAAAAAATGAGTCTAAGAAAACATTCATCGTTCATCAGACAATGGAACGCGGTCAGCTTGCTGTGGAGCTTTGGCTCTTTGACTCATTATGCAGAATTCATATCTTACCTGTTCAGCTTGATACATTGTTTCTTTATGTTCCGTCATCATGTTATTTATTAGGAGCGTTTCGCGATTTTTAGTCTTGATTAAAAAGGAACATCTGTTACAGCGAATTTTTACTTTTATTGTTTATTTCGCTTCATTGATTTTAAGATTGATTTTTGTGTCAATTAGTTGTAACATGTTGCACTGCGTTTGCTTTATGTTGCTGATGATTTTTATTCTTCTACAATTACTCAATTAGCAGACGACGATCATTTCATCTGTCACTCGTGTTCTAGACATTGAGAATACCGGTTTTGAAACTGCACAAGAATTATCATTATTATTATTATACAGGATTTATATGGCGCCAACCGTGTGCGCAGCGCTTTACAATATAAGGAAGACATTACAATCACAATACAATTCAAGACAAGATGGTAAGGAGGGCCCCGCCCCTGAGGGCTTACAATCTAAAAGGGGAGGGGCCAGTGATACATGAGGAGGGAGCTGTGTGGGGATGAATTGTTTGAGAATGTGATAGTTGAGCGGTTAGGTTGAGGTGGGATCGGCTTCCCTTAAGAGACGAGTCTTAAAGGAGAACTATGAGGGGGGAGGGGGGGAGGGGTGCTTTTCACTCACCTCATAGTTGGAGCCGACCTGTGACAATGAGACTGTCACAGGTCGGCTCAGTAGATCGGGAGGTGAGCGAACACATACTGGCGTTCGCTCACCTCTCGATCCTGTCACGGCTCTCTGCCGTGACAGGGGAGGGGCTGGATTCCCCCCTCCCCGACTGTCACGGCAGAGAGCCGTGACAGGATCGAGAAGTGAGAGAACGCCGGTATGTGTTCGCTCACCGCCCGATCTACTGAGTCGACCTGTGACAGTCTCATTGTCACAGGTCGGCTAGAACTATGAGGTGAGGGAAAAGCAATCACCTCATAGTTCTCCTATTAAGTACAAACCTAAAGTCCCGATCTTGTATGTAACCCGGGGACCTCCAGTCCCGATCTTGTATGTAACCCGGGGACCTCCAGTCCCTATCTTGTATGTAACCCGGGAACCTCCAGTCCCGATCTTGCATGTAACCCGGGGACTGCCTGTACTTGTACTCGATACAGAGAAACCGGTATCAGTGCATCCCTAGTCATCAGCAATAGAGAATTGCCAGCAGTCAGTCCAATTCAGTTTCGTATTGGCATAATGGCCCTGATAAGACTGCTTTTGACAATCGGGGGGCCCTAACTGGGGCCCCTAGAGTGAAAATCCAAGATGTCGTATAAAGAGCACCAGGGAAAAAATGAGTCTAAGAAAACATTCATCGTTCATCAGACAATGGAACGCGGTCAGCTTGCTGTGGAGCTTTGGCTCTTTGACTCATTATGCAGAATTCATATCTTACCTGTTCAGCTTGATACATTGTTTCTTTATGTTCCGTCATCATGTTATTTATTAGGAGCGTTTCGCGATTTTTAGTCTTGATTAAAAAGGAACATCTGTTACAGCGAATTTTTACTTTTATTGTTTATTTCGCTTCATTGATTTTAAGATTGATTTTTGTGTCAATTAGTTGTAACATGTTGCACTGCGTTTGCTTTATGTTGCTGATGATTTTTATTCTTCTACAATTACTCAATTAGCAGACGACGATCATTTCATCTGTCACTCGTGTTCTAGACATTGAGAATACCGGTTTTGAAACTGCACAAGAATTATCATTATTATTATTATACAGGATTTATATGGCGCCAACCGTGTGCGCAGCGCTTTACAATATAAGGAAGACATTACAATCACAATACAATTCAAGACAAGATGGTAAGGAGGGCCCCGCCCCTGAGGGCTTACAATCTAAAAGGGGAGGGGCCAGTGATACATGAGGAGGGAGCTGTGTGGGGATGAATTGTTTGAGAATGTGATAGTTGAGCGGTTAGGTTGAGGTGGGATCGGCTTCCCTTAAGAGATGAGTCTT